GGGAGGTTTTGGGCTATGGTCGCCGGACGTGAGGGGGTGGCGTCGCGGCTGGTTTTGGGTAGGTGTTTGGACGAGATGGTGATGGAGTTGGACTGGTGGCTTGTAGCGACGATGGAGGGGGCTAGGAGGAGGAGGTGGTTCAGGCGTTGGGAGGGGGTCACTGGTTTGGTTCGTGGTCTCTTCTGTAGGGTTTTGTTCCTTCTTCTTGAAGAAGAAGGACGAACAGTGCCTATCCTCCAAATTTCAATCGTCCGTTCAAAATTTTTAAAAAAATCCCCCCTTTTGCCTTGGCCTTGTCCGTGGATTTGATACACAATGCCAAGAAAAATGAGCCCAACGCGTGGTGGGTTCAAGGTTTGTGTCCCCCACGCGTGGTGGGGTTCCCCATGTGTCATGGACTCGGTTTATTATGGGTTAGGTCCGAAAATTAGGCCTAAAACCGGGTAGTTCGAACTCGAATATTATTCTTTTGCCCGGACCCGATTAAGAACACAACGTTGTTCGTCTAATCCTATGTAAGCAAAAATAACTACAAAAATAAGACTAATATTTAAACAAAACTATATATTTTTTAATATATTTTTCAAGATTTAAAATAGCTACAAAATATTAATAAAACTATTTTTTTTGTAATTTTCGTTTTTATGTAAGGATAAAATATAAAGTAATATTTTTTGTATTTTTCAAAAATTAAAATGACTACAAAACATTAATAGAACTATATTTTTGGTTATTTTCGAAATTATATAAAGTACAAAAATAAAGTGCAATTTTTGTATTTTTCAAGTTTATGAGAGATACATAAACTAAAATTTATATATATTTTTTTTTGTAATTTTCTTTTTGCAATAAAATAAAGTAAAAATAGTTAAAATAGCTATACTAGACCCTATTTCACATATTCACGCTAAAAATGTGAAAATTCTCGGGGAGGGTCAAAAATCCGGTGTCTACAGTAACATCTGCCTTATACATACTTAAATGAGAGAAATATTTCTTCTCTTTGAATATTGTATGTGTTGTACATGAATCAACTAAATAAATATTTTTACAATTGAACTTTGATCCAAGTTTGTTTTGTGAGATATCCATATTTGCTTCCCATTGTTTGACATACAAAATAAATATACGAATAAATATTAATATTTTCAGAGTGTATACTTATAATACTAACGAATGATTAAAAATAAATAAATCATACTACGATTAAATGTCTCTATATACAATAGCTTGTATCAATATAAAAAATGGTTGTCGCTCTCTGTTCCGCAATTGATTTTCCTCCATTATCAAAACAAGTAAATAACTAACAACCTTTTGTTTATGAAACAGAAAAATAGAAACATAAAGAATACTACTTCTCCTAGTACTACTACGTATTTGCTTTCCTCAATCGGCAACCTTTTGATGGAAGGTACATAAAGGGGCAATGATGATGATGTTTATATGTTTAGGCTATATAAATTTTTCTACCACTTATAAATTAGTTTGGTGGTAAATCAGGCAGATAGCTATTATATCACGTTTATATACTACTATGGTCAATTTAAAGACATGCATTCGTACCTTTTCTGTTCAATATCAGTAATTAAGTATTCTTTTTACATCACAACATTATTTTAATAAAGAATTTATTATCCTTGAATATTAAGCAAACTGAAACATTGTTTAAAATAAATACTAGAATTATATTTAATGAAATGAACTAACACTAATTCATAAAGTAATACTAATTGATACTAATGAGTACTACTCATGTAAAGAACTATGATTACATGATGTTTTTAGTTACTACGAATATATAAAAATAAAAATCAAACTACTCAATCATCTTTAACCACATATCCATCACCGATCAAGTGGTCTATTTTCCCATCAAGACACTCAAAGAAGTCTGTCACATCCAAGTGGGTGATGTCAAAATCATTGTCAAAGACAAAATTGGCTTCAGGACCTTTATTCTTTAGAGATGCTTGATAAAGCTCAACCAAATGTCTTGGTACACGATAAATATTTGCGCAATGCCCTTTTCCACCGCAACGATGACATTCAGTTTCTGAACCATTTGCCTTTGGCTTCTCATCTTTCCCTTTCCACTTTTGGTGGTTACTTTTCTTTGGAAGGTGATTAACAATAGGAAAATTTCTTCCTTGTCCACGACTACAAATAAGGCCACGGCCTTTTCCACGCTTAGCATAATGGGAATATACCTCATCCACTTCACGCAATGGTGTAGACCCAGTGGGTTGATTTTCGTGATTTCTCATGAGCAACTCATTGTTTCGCTTAGCCACAAGGAGAAGAGAAATCAGCTCAGAGTACTTCTTGAAGCCTTTCTCTCTGTACAGCTGTTGCAGGACCATATTGGAGGCATGAAACGTTGTAAACGTTTTTTCAAGCATATCATAGTCAGTGATAGTATCTCCACAGAGTTTCAATTTAGAAGTAATTCTGTACATCGCAAAATTATATTCAGAAACAGACTTAAAATCTTGGAGCCTCAGATAAGCCCAATCATATCGTGCTTGTGGAAGAGTGACCAACTTTAAGTTGTCATATCTTTCCTTTAAGCCATTCCACAAAACAAGTGGATCTTTGACTGTGAGATATTCTATTTTCAACCCTTCATCAAGGTGATGACACAAGAAAATCAAGGACTTAGCACAGTCTTGGGTGGATGCTTTAGTTTTGTCTTTAATGGCGTCTCCAAAACCCATTGCATCTATATGGATTTCAGCATCCAACACCCATGTCATATAGTTCTTGCCCGAAATTTCAAGGGCAACGAACTTTCTTTTCATAATATCAGTTATAATTAAAGGAGGAGAAAAATTGTACCTTAATCTTCTTGAAACGGTAGAGTCTCGTGCTGGTAACGTGTTATAAAACAACAAAAGTAGAAGTACAATATTGCAGAGAAAGAGAGAGTAATTCTTACTGAATTTTGGGATGATTTACAATGGGGTAAGACCCCTCTATTTATAGGGGGGAAATGATTTAGCCGCAAAGTAAAACTCTCTACAAGATAGACATTCATTCTAAATAGAATTCTATTCATAACAGTTAGATAATTTTTTTGTTTTACGCATATTTACTATGTGTTGATTCTTCTTATTTTTTTTGTATATATCTAATTTTTTTTATATTTTGACACTCCTCGATAGATATTATGGCTCTGGCACTATGCGTACCATAAATTATATTACCGAACCAAATGGTACATTTATACCATCAGAGCTTACAACTTAATTATTCATTTATGCAATCCCCTTACCAAATAACCTAAGCCCTACATAAACCATCAATGCTAATTAACCCACCTACAAAGATGGTGCTTATCACAATAACACACAATGGAGACTGAATTAGTCACTTTTAGGCGATTTTTACATTCATATACACTATATGAAACTATATTACCATCCCTACTCAAGTTTAAATATAATTACATATTATATACCCAATTACCATTTATGTACATTTCTTCCTGTTCTTATTCCTCTTAATTACCTCTCCTGGGCTTCAGGCCATACAGCTGCAGGCACCGCGATATCCGGTCCATCGCCTAGAAAAGAACAAGTCATCTTTCAACCTCTTCCAAGTTCTTGGGTTGGTCCAGATTTCAAATTCGAGAATAGAAGAGTTCCCACTGGATCTAATCCGTATTCTAAATTTTTACTCTCTTCTTCAAAAAATCACCTCCACTAACATCTGTGCTTAGCTTGATTTTTAATGAAGAAGAAAATATCTTCAAAGAACAGCCCTTAAAAAAGCAAAGGAGTCGATATTCCTATATTTGAATTGGGTGTTGTTGCAAAGAATTAAAATTTCTTTCTACGTCTCTCTATCTCTCAATCCCTAATTTCAGTAATGTAAAGCAAAGGAAAAGAGAGTAGCAATTCCACCATTGACAGCTATTAAAAAGCTTTGAAGCTTTGAATTTAAATTTGGGTTTTAAAAAATTATTATTCGTTTGGATTGAGTGTTGTTGCAAACAATTGGAAAATATGGTTTGGAGTTTATATCTCAATTTTGAGGGTGTTTTAGTAAAGATTAGACTTGATTTTGGCTAAATTTCAAATTGAAACTCGAAGAAGATGAAGAAGAAGACATGACATACATTATACTTACGAAATTGTAGTAAAGTTATAGTAAAATTGTAGAAAAATTATATTTTGTTGTTTTTATATTTTTATTTATTTAAATATTGTATGAAATTGAACAAGATTGTATAAAAATTGTATTTAAATTGTATAATATCATAGTTGTATATAACTGAGTAGAAATAATGTACGAAAATTATAGATACGTTGTAGATAAGTTGTATAATATATAATTAGTTATATGAAATTTATTTTTACTATGTATAAATTGATACAAAATATACAAAAGACATATTGTATAAGATTTGTATAAAAATTGTATTTAAGTGGTATTATATTGTAGTTGTATATAACTGGATAGAAATAATGTATGAAAGTTATAGATAAGTTGTATAATATATAATTAGTTGTACGAAATTTACTTTTACTATGTATAAATCAGATACAAAATATACAAAAGATATATTTTATAAAATTGTATGAAAATTGTATTTGTGTAATAAGGAATAGTGTCAAGAACAGATAAGTGGTTGAATCTGAAGCCATTATCATTTATTTTCTTATAAAATTGAAACTTCTTTTGTTTTATACTTCAATACCATACAAGAGGGGGGAGGGGGTGATTTGTGTGGTACCCAATTTTCGGTTAGCTTGATTATAGAAGGACCTGGTTTTTCTATGTGTTCCAACTATTGCTGTTGCGGAATAATAAATACAGAAAATAAAGAACACAGAGATTTTACGTGGAAAACACTTGGCTCAAAAGGTGAAAAAAACACGACCTACCTTCCAGTAGGATTTTCCCAAACTCTCCACTAAAATCACTGAGCCAAAAACTACATTTACAAAAAACTTTTTTGTAAACCTAGGATTAACTCTAATCCCGTTGTGGCACATAGCCTCAACTATTGCGACAACTTCAAGTTAACTCTAACTTGAAAACTCTAAGTACCTAATACAATTGCTTCTATATAAGCTGAAAGGTACAATGTAAAATCACCTACTACAATTGAACTAGAATAAAAGATAGACACTTGGAACTGGTTCTTCTATCTGGTTCAAGTAGCTTCAGGATTGCATGCTTAAATAACACATAAATTGCTTGTAAAATTGCCTTGCTATTTTGCTCTCAATTCACGTTTTACTTCTACTACATTCCTGTAAAAGAGAACAACACTAATATTTAAGGAGTTAGTAATTAGAGATTGACTAAGATACAGATGCTACTCTTCCATGGTTGAAGAGTTCTAGTTGATCTCATACTTTGACTCTATCTTTTTCCTAAACCGTATTCTCTTTGTGTAAGGAGTCTTTATCCTTATTCAATATGCAACATTTTCGATCATGATCAGGAGATATCACTTCTGATAAGTTAGGTTTATCTCCTTCATGTGCATCTCACATGTTTGATTTGATCATAACTGTGCTTCACAAGATGGACCTGGTCCACGTCTGAGTTCCTTTGTCAGTCTTCAAAACTTCACCTTTACTTGGGCCAACAAATTCTCCCTTTTTGATGATGACAAACTCTGTGCTTTTCACTCACTTAGGCCTTGTCAGAACTCAGCTTATTCATCAATATAAAGTTAGAAAAATTTACTTATCATCAAGGACCAGGTTCATTAGGTTATAAACATCACTTATTCTTAAAGCACAATATCTCTTCCCCCTTTTAGCATCATCTAAAAATTGCATAAACAAAGTGTGAGTCCCAGAATTTTAACAATTTCTCATGGCCACTGGGGCAACTGCAAGTGCAATCATGGATCAATCATCAGTAATCAGGCAAATATATTTGAACTATCAAGGAAATATTAACAGTCAACATAAGAAAAAATAGTAGATATCATTGATAGAAGGTATGTTGCTACCACAATCCACAACAGAAAACAAAAATATTCAAAACATGAGCAAAAAGAAAGAAAAATCCATAATCTGGGTCACTGGTGGTACTAGACAGGTTCAGGAGATGAAGTCTAAAAGTCCTAAGGCTTGGGGGAGCTGGAGTGTTGGTTTTGGGCTTGGAGAAGATTCAGCATATTGTGAAGAATTCCATCATTCTTCTCATTTTCCTTGGTAAGCTCAGTTCTGAAAGCATCCCTATCAGATTCAACCTCTGTTAAGCGAGCCTTCAGCCTAGCTATCTCAGCATCCTTGGCCACATTTTCCTGAACTAGAGCCCTGACTTTACTCTTGATAGGTATCTTCTTGGATGAACTAGGTTCATTAGGAATGGCAGTGACTAGATAGTCACCACCAATCAGGGTATTAATGCCAAAATGGTCCTTGCTTGTGGCCATTTCCCACTTCTTCAGAGGCACCTTGCACCGATCCAGAACATTAGTCAGAATAAATTCATAAGGGGTGGTATGGGCCTTGGAGCCATTGATAACCCTGTCTAGTAGCTTGATGATGAATACATGCCAGTTGATTTGCCTTTCACTTTCAAGGCACTCCATCAGAACTAAGTCTATATAGTTAGCAATGTGCCTTCTTTCCAGCCTGGGCAGTAGTCACTTGTTGACAAACTCAAAGAGGACTTTGTGTTGTGGCTTCATTTCACTCTTGTGCACAAACTTGGCCTCATTCACTACTTCAACATCATAGAATCTCCTAGTGATTTCAAGGGCATGAGGAAGGGAATACAGACTTGGCCATCTTTGCCTAGTATAGTCATCAATCCCTTAGTAGGGATATCAAGAATCTCTCCCAGCTTCTCTGCATCGAAGGTCACTTGAACTCCTTTCACTTGGATGGTGACTCTGCCATCTTTGACCTCTACATTGGCCATGAATTCAATGATTTCATTCCTATCTAGCCTTCCATCCATCTGAAGGACCATGTCCTTCCAGCCTTGAACAGCTGGTGCATAAACCAAACAAACCATTCCTAGTTCCACCAAGTCTTTCAGCAATCTACCCTTCAAAAAATTTCTTTTGCCAAATTTGGCCAACTTGTCTTGTTTACTATCAGACTCACTCTCTTCTTTACCACTCCATTCCTCATTTTCAACAATTCTAACTGGTTTGTTTTTCATTACAGACCTTATCCTCTTGGCCAATGAAGATTCAATAGCCTTAGACCCTGATGAAGACCTCTTAGAAGAGGTCTTGGTCTTTTTAGGCTTGGGGGTCTGAACCTCCACAGTTGTATGTTCCTCCTGATAAACCTGTTCCATCTCCTCAACATCAACAACCTCAGAAGTCTCTACAACCTTTGCTTTTCCTTTATCCATTTTCTTCTTCTTGCTTTCAGCTAAA